ACCTCTGGCGCCCACGCGATCACAGTTCCCGGGCCGCACCTGGGACAGCTAATCACAGGTGCAAACAAAATATTATCGGCCAATCACACGACGGAGCGGACACTAACCGGGACTCGTGTAACCTTGACGCCCTTACGCCTACTTCATTTTATCGGACGAACGCTCGCGCAGACCCAGGAGCTTCCCGTGGGTCGGAGCTTCGGACTCCCACTGAGTTTCCGCCAGTGTCTGTTCGCTTAAGCAGCTGATTGGCCGATAACTGTTCTTGTCACGTGAGCTCATACGCGACGTGTGCGTCAGAGGTGGAAGGTGCTAAATGCCGTTAAGTTTGACTGTTTGCTTGTTTTCGTTTTATGGTAGAATGAAAGATACAAAAGGCAAACCTGGATCGACAAGATGCTCATAGACCAGCTCGCCAGTGAAAAAAAGCAGTCAGACTAGCAAAGAAGGGGCGCGAACCTGTCGTTTTCGGAATATGCACCGCTCAATCCAGGTGGCGATTGTCTGTCTTGCCACTTCCTCCTCAATAGCGTACTCCAACTCCTCCCGGGCGATTAATTCCTCCAGCTGCAGTGTCTTCGTAATATCCACGGTCCGGTAAGCCAAAACCCTGCCAGCCGCAACCGCAAGAAATGTTGACAAGATGAGGGGCATAAAATTATTTACTAGGCAGATCTAAGGGAAAAAAGGGCCTACACCACCCTGTCATAAAACAAACAAGTGAATCCTACGTCTGTTGAAAATTGTAATATAAAAAATGAGAAGACTGGACCGACATAAAATTCTAAATTCCGGTTTCCTTTAGCGCCAGAAAAACCATAAAATTATTGTTAGATGGGAAACCATCACGCTGCCTTAATAACCAAGGCGTTGCCGTGTTGACAAGATGTAAAACAATTTGATTCCTAAATAAGGGTCTGTTGTTTAACTGCACGGAATTGCTGTTCAAAAGGTAGCTACTTGTATTATTAATTTAGGTGTGGTTTACTGCAGTTTTCTTGGCACTAGGTCAGGAAGGATATTGTGGGTTATATTTATGGTTTACGGCTTAGATTATGGCTTTAGGATTGAGGCTAGAGTTTCAAGTTTTGGTTTATAGTTTTTCGGATTTTGGTGTGCAGATTTGGGATACAGTTGGGGTTAAGGTTTTAGGGCTAAGAGTAGGCGTAGGAGTTCGATTTCAGATTTAGAGCTAGGGAATGGGATAGAGCTAGACTTAGGTTTTGGGTTTAGAGGTAAGGTTAGGTTTCGACTTTTGAGTTTTCCGTTTAGGGTTGAAGCTAATGTTATCGTTAGTGTTTTTGTCAGGGCTATGGATTATAGTCATAGCTCCAGTTGCGTGTTGGGAGTAAGGTTATCCGCCTACAATTTGCCCCAGTGAGGTTAGATATCCTTCCCTCGCCAATTCCTGAAAATTCTGGACACTAAGGTGAACATATTCGAAAACCGATACTAAATCAGCTGGCCTCCCAGGTTAATTCCTTCTGATCAAACTGCTATTCAATTCATAATACCCGAGCGGCCAGATCATCAGATGATCTGGGGATTGAAAGGCAGTTGGCTCTATAGAATAACTCGGAATTCAATGGCTGTTTTCAGTCCTTTTTTACCAGTTGAACAGATCCGTCTATTACTACATTACCCTTCATTGAGCTCCTCTGCAAGTGTGACCGAATTACCTGGTCCATAACTCACCGGTCGGTCAGAAACATTTGAGCGATCACTCACCAGACACCAGTTGCCGAAAGGGTCTGGGCTACGGATTGTTTTCTAATGTTTCTAAATTAGATGATAGACAACAACCTCTACCGTCCCGGTAAGATCCTCTGTTTCAATTCTACTGTGGAAAGGTAAAGATCTCATTCAGCTAATGTGCGCTACATCGAAGGTAACCAAGTTTCAATCATACCAAAACTTAGACTGCCCAGGAGACGGAAGAACTTTTCTCTCATCTGAAATACAAATAAATGCCTTCATGTTCAAGACACAACTTCTTTGCTATCTGAGAATTCAGAAGAGTAGTTGGCGAGCATACGTAGGCTTTCGATAAATTATCATCGGGCTATTACATTTATATGGCAAGAAGGTAAACATAAAGGTAAGGATACATAAAAGGTAAACTTAATTGCCCGCATGTTTACCTTTGACTCCCTTCTTATGTAAACTTAATGGCCCGATGAGGATTTATCGAAAGCCTACGTATGCTCGCCGACTCCTCTTCTGAATTCTTTGCTATCGTGCGTACATAATTTATTTCCTTCATTTTTGGAAACAAGGTTGGGCTTTGCCAAACTCAGAAGCAAGCTTATCAGTGTGCCATCCCAACGACTGACAAGTTGAAATTAAATCTAAGCGTCAACGTCAAGCAGTCCTGGAAACCTTGCAATCCTGTCTGTCGTTCAAGGAAGAAATGTCATCAACTATTCGTGGGCGATTCACGTGACAACAATATTTATGATTTTGCATTAACGATATGCAGTTGTACAGGGAGGTGAAATAGTCGATAAGGCACTCGACAGCTTCTCATATACCTTTTGGATCTATGCTACTGTGATCACAACGGCTTGATGGCCCTCAAGCGACCTTTTGTGGGTTTCACAATAGCATGATCAGGAAGCTAATGCCCTCCCTTAACCAATGGTGCCAAAAGTAAAAATCGAAGCGTTCATTCAGGCCGCAATCGGTGTCGGTGAACTACTTAGCTAAGATGAAACTTTCTGTAACTTAATCTCATCTTCTAATTCATTTTTAGAGTCATATGAGCCTTCGAAAAATGCCTTACCGACCAAAACTGCTCTTGGACATCATGTAATATTTCTGAACCTTAACCGTGCGATCTGTCTACTTTTGCTTCGAGCATTGTTTGGAAGAAAGTTATAATTTGTCATGGACCACGGCTTGGGAGCAAACAAAATGGTTATCTCAGCTGTTGATTAGGTGCAGATGAGAATTCTAAAACAATTCGTAGGAGATAGATGGTTTTACACTTTAAGAAGTTGCGCATGAAATGTTATGACTGGAGCAGGTGCTGTATTAACTTGACGTTTCGGATCCTTTTCCGAATCCAGCATCAGAAACAAAATCTGAGAATAGATTGCACAGATGTTGCAGTATTCGCAGAATGTAGTTGCTAGGCCGCTACGCGCCACTTTTCTCACAAATGGCAGCCCGCGAATGCATCGCGGATAGGTGCGCTGGGTGCGATGACTATCCGACCGGCCAGACGCTGTAGTATGCAATTGCTATGGGCCTGCGCGCCGGTCAAAAGTATCGGCACCCGTGATTATCGCAGGTGATGTTTGCATCTGGTACGATAATGACTCGAAGTCGAGTCGCTAAATACCGGATTTTCGTAATCAGTGTGGATTATTGGACCACAGTGTCTCACTGACAATGACACAGAGAACAGTGAGCAATCGCAGAAACGTCATTGTATTTGGTAATCGACTGAGGACCGGAAAACCTTGACTCGAACAGTTCGCGGCTCACGCAGTTGTCACTTCGGGCTAAACATTCGATTATAAGCGATAACGTTTTTTGTGCTGGTTTGTGGCAGTTCACACTAGTGCAAGTGGGGAACTTGATAACCAACTGACAATACAACGTTCTTAAGTACGCTAAGATATAAATGGCAAATCGTCGCGTATAATGCCGAGCTCTTGAACTGTATGTTAGGATGGTAGCCTGACCAAAGGCTAGCAACCTTGCCGGCTCTCCTAAGGCGTTGAGCCTGCCGCTGACGCCACAATCATTCCTTGTTCAATAGCGTTC